ATCTCCCACGTCACACACATATTCTTTTAATTTTTTCTTCCTTAAAATTCCACCAACTAAATAATTATATATATTATAATAAAATTATCAATATTATCTATTTTTCAAAATTTTCAAGAACGAGTGTGCATGTTTTCAAAATATTTGGATGGATGAAATTAAATAATTATAAAATTAGTTTAATTTTAAGGGAATGATGAATTGGTAAGAAAAGTAAAGGATTTAATTTTAATTTATTTATTTATTGTTATGAGCACATGGGAAATGTGAGCTTAATTACCATTTTTCCAAAAATGTTTGGCTAAAAGAAACGGGCTGCCTGTGGCTGCCGTACCCTTTTCAACGGCAACGCAATGGAATCTTCCTTTTTTTCAACACTAAAAAAAAAAAAAAAAAAAAAAAAAAAGATTTTCACCTTTATTCATTTGATGTATAATTAAGGTTTATTTGTAATTTAAGTAAAATTAAATAGTATTTAATCTGCCTCGTACAACTAACCCTCCACTGCCACTAGAAAATTAGAAGAAATATAAAATCTCAACTATTTAAGTATTTTATTCAATGATGTTAGGTAGATGATATAAATTTAACTATATGATGTCAATAACACGTGGATATGTTCGCATTTTTCAATGTGGATATATATTTGTTCATCCTTTTAAAAGAAAAATTATCATGCTGGAAGTTGATTAAATTTTGAAGAAAATGATTTCAACAATTAGTTTTATTTGTTTAAGAACTGATGAATCAATTTGTTGTTCGATTTTAGGGAGAATGAGTAACAAGGGAGCGATAATAATGAGTCTCTGGATATTGTTTGTGTTCAGCATAAAAAATGAACTGATATTTTCTGAATTGAGGACAATTTTTAAATACGAACGGTACAAAAATTCTCCGAAATTCTGCAGCGGATTGGATTCGACTGATTGGAGATTCAGAGAAGCTACAGATTCAAATGGAAAAGAAAAGGAGTATATACAAAAAGTTCATCGGAATCCCGCTAGTTTATGTACAGATCTCAGAATTTGGCCGGATCTTTAAACTTCCAGGGATTCGAATCCTTCATTCCACCGCCAATTCACCGATCAGATCTCGATTCCTTGCACACAAACGGATGTGTCAACAACTGCGCCACCGTCCACCTCTTGCTCGATTCCTTTTGCAAGCAACACTCGACGAAGCTCCGAAAGTCCTCCGACGCGTCCTCCGGCAGCGTCGGCGGTTCGCCGAAGCAAATCGCACACATCAGAGTCGCCCAATCTGGTCTCTGACCAGGCGGTAGGAAAGGAAAATGACCTAAATAGAGCTCCAGAAGAGTAAGCCCCAAACTCCATATGTCACCGGCGTAACCGTTGTAATTTCCGCCGTAAGTGTCCGGATCGAACCGCTCCGGACTCATATAAGCGCAGGTTCCGACGTAGGAATTGCAAGCATCCAAAGTTCGGCACATGATCTTACTAACTCCAAAATCGGCAATCTTAACCTCCATATTCTTATTCACCAACAGATTCGACGGCTTAATATCGCGATGAATGATTTTGTGAGAGTGAAGGTAGTGAAGTCCGTTAAGAACCTGACGCGCGACGTGAGCGAGCGTCGATTCTGACAACGTCGAGTTCTTCTTCAAGAGCGAATCAAGCGATCCTAGATCCATATACTCCATCAAAATCGTAACGTCTCCAGACGGCTTCTCGAAGATTCCATGGCACTGAACGACATAGGGAGAGTCGGTACGGCGTAGAATCTCCATCTCTCTGAAAACCTGGCGACGGACGGTTGGATCGCAGTCGCCGTGGACAACCTTGAGAGCGTAGGTTGCGGAGGTACGCTTGTGGCGGACTTTGTAGACGGTGCCGCCGTTGCCATGGCCGAGGACTTGAAGCTTTTCGAGGTCGGAGGCAGCGGGAGCGGCGGCGGCGGCTGTAGCGGCAGGAGCAGCAGCGGAGGATGGAGGGAGTGGGAGAGGGAAACGGGGACGGCAGTCGGAGAGGTCGGGGAGGCGGAGGTTCAACTGGCGGCGATCACGAACCAGAGCCATTAGAGAGATGGAGGGATTTGGCTATGGAGGTTTGGATAAAAGTGAATGGAGGAAAGGATTTGCTTAAATAAGTGAGAAGGGGAAGCACGTGGGATAGTGGTAGAAATGGAGAAAGGAAGTTACCAGGATGAACACGACTGTGGGCCCCCCTTTGCTGCATGCGGAGCGGACGGATGCAAGCCGGGCGTCTTTTTATTTAAAAATAAAAAACCTATTCATTTAATTAATCCCATATAATATTGGTTAAATTTTAAATTTTAAATTTTAAATTTAATTTATTATTATTATTATTATTACATAGAAATGAATAAAGTATTTAAAATCCAACAAAAAAAATCAGTTATTGGGTTAGCCAACTACATTCGTTCATGTGACTAAGCAGGCCAAAGGGCACCCCACATCCTTTATTTTTTAAAATAGAAATTATGTGTAAAGTGTGAAAATCTTAAAATTATTATTAACTAAAAAAATAATCATGAAAACAACAAAAATCGCCACATAAATTAAAAGACAAAAAAATATGATGCGCATTTTGTATTTATTTAGTGAGCTGTCGAAATTTGCACACAAAATAATTTATTTCCCAATTTTTTCCTCGAGGGCTTTTTCGTCTTTATGCATTTATCTTTTTGCACGAAAAATAAGAGAGGAAATTTTTAATGTTGTAATTTTTTTAGCCCATTTTGTGACATTTTTAACCTCCAAATAAATGTTACGGTAAATAAATAAAAATTATTGGAAAACAAAAGGAAAGGATAAGATCCCGTAAGGTTAATTTTGTCAATTTATTGAAGCCGCCGCCGACATTTTTCTAGAATCCACCGTATTTTGCTCCGCTGAATATTAGAAAAATATTCCAATTCCATAAAAGTATTAAAATCGATTGGCAAAATAGTAATTTAAACAAATAATCAAGATACAAAATACCCTTTAATTCCCACGTATTAAAATGGGATTTTTTTTTTAATAAAAAAAACTAAGATTCCAAAATTGCCCTTGTGTAAATACCTTACGTTTAATTTTCACATTTTTAACCAATTTTTTAAAATATTGAAAAATAACAACAGACTAAAAACAATGAGATTAGACTAAACATATTTGAATCAACACGATCATACCATTATAGATCGTTGTTCTTATGAAACGAGAATTTTATAAATAAAAATCGGAGGAAGAAGAAGACAAAGAAAGATGCTTCTTCCCTAGTGGAGGCTTCTCTATATACAAGTTGGAGGAGGAGGGTCCTCACCCCCAAAGTTGACACTTTTTCTTTACATCTTCCTAAAAAAAGATAAATTTTTTAAAGATGGGTAGCTCAAAGGGTGCCCATATGGGTACCCTCCCATCATTAGTTTCATATCCAATTCTCAACCACCAACTTGCTTTATCCGTTCCAAATAATACTCAATCCATCCTACTCACATCCCATCAACTCCTTAAACAATTTATAGCTTCCTAAAATTGTGTAGTGGTAGACTTGAACGATTACAGTATCATAGCTAGATACGGGACGGTGTGCTAGCAAGAACGTTAGGTCTCTAAAGGGGTGTATTGTGAGATCTCACATTGGTTGGAGAAAATAACAAAACATTCTTTCTAATGATGTGGAAATCTATCCCCAGTAGACTCGTTTTAAAATTATAGGGTTGACGACGATACATAACGAACTAAAGTGGATAGAATATGTTAGTGGTGAGTTTGAGTTGTTACAAATGGTATCAGAGCCTAACACTGAGAGGGGTGTCAGTAAGAACTTTGGCTCCCAAGGAGAGTGGATTGTGAAATCCCACGTTTTAATTTGTATAATTTTAACTATGTATTATAGTTTAGTCACCTAATATTTATTATTATTTTTGTAAAAGTGGATAGTTTCAAATTTAAAATAATGGTTAGAAGGAAGAATCACATCATTTAATTTATTAACAATATTAATAACGGACATTAATGATTCAAATATAATTTATCTGACAAACGAAGTTATAAAACTTACCATATAAAAATATGCGTGACAATAATAATAAATTAGTATAAGTTGGAGGTTAAAGAAATAAAATTATACGGGGGCAGTGCTGGAATAATGCAAAAATTAGTTAAGAATTAATTAGAAAACGAACAAAACCAAGGCGGCTGGCTGCATTGTTAAATAGTATGAAACTCCACTGCCCACAAAATGATTGGGTTCCACCACCAGTCTCGCCTTCTTTTCTTCTTCCAAATCATTTATAATATTATATATATATATATATATATAGTCGTTTTATCTTTTGTCTTGTTTATAAATTAAATATCTCAATTTTTTGGGAGCTAGCCAAAATTGAAAATATTAAAATATAAAAATGGTATTGGATGATAATTTTATATTTTGAAAATTAATTTAGAGTTATATTTATTAATTATTAGTTTAAAATTTTAATGGATATAATTTCTTATAATTTAGGGGCACAAATTAATATTGTCATTTGAATAAAAAATAATTTTTTTCGTTAATTAAAAATACTAAAATCATGGGAGATTATTTGAAAAATTAAATGACAAAAAAAAAAAAAGAGAAGAAGTTAGGGGACAAATCCCAATATCGATGATTTAATTGTCAAAATGTAAAAATATTAATTATTTATTTTTAAACATTAATAATTTAACATGAAAAAATTACAGTCCAAAGATTTATTTTGCTTTGCTAATTTTTATTTATTTATCAAAATAGTGTTAAAAATAAAGAAAAAGGATTTGGATCCGATGGGTCCAATTCGGATCCTAAAGGGTAAGACGGGCAAATAAATAGAATCACGCGAGGTAAGATGCGAAGAAAATCAGAATTATTATAGTACGCCACGTGTCTTTATCTTGAAGATCAGACGACTACTAAAGCTTCGGTATCAACCAACGCCATGGAAGCGAAGTATGGAATTATGATTTTTTATTATATTTTTTTCTTCTTTATTAAGAAAAGAAAAATAAAAGAAAAAGAAAAAGAAAAAGAAAATTGTTTCTTGGATCGTAGGAGAAGAGAGAGGGAAGAGAAGAAGCAAAGGAACTCGGTGGGTCTGTGTTCTGTCGTTTGTTTTTCGTTGAAAATGGCGTTGCAGTGGATGCTATTGGCTTATACGGTGGCAGTGGAGGCTGCCATCGCCATTCTGCTGACGATTCCTTCACCGAAGCTGCTCAAGCAACGCTTCGTCTCTTTGATTTCACTCATTCTACAGCCTGCACTCTTCGTTGTGCCCTTCGCCGGCTTTCAGATTCTAGGTTTTTTTTCCCCCTTAACTTGCGTTTCTTCTTTTATTTTGACTTTTTAATTTTGTAATTTCATTTCGCTATCCGATGTTTTCAAATCTCGACTGGAACCTGAGATCGGACCTTGATTCTTTTTTCTTTTCATTCTTTTATTTGTGATTTCTTGTTGTACTTTGTAGATATCTACTGGAAGAATGAGCACCGATTGATGTGTACATCTGAGATCTGTACAGCTGCCGAGAGAGATCGATATGAGAAATCTGTAAGTATAAATGTCTAGTTGAGTTTTTCTAATTTGTAGTGTTTTTCATTGATTTCTCAAAGATTTAGATATAGATTTTCATACTGTTTTACTCCGTTAATGCTAGCAATTGTTAGAATTTCAAAGGATTAGAAATTGATGGAGTCTGGATACATCTACGAAATAGATTTGTTTAACCCCTTCGAATTAGCAATTGTTAGAGTTCTGGAAGGAGAGTGCGTAATTGGGCCATCTTGCCCCGACAATTGAACGTCAGGAACTCTTTCATATTGCAGTTTTTAGTATGACGATGGGTACTTACCAGTTCTGAATGTTTACCAAGTAGCTCCTATTTCCCTTTCCCTATCCCTATTCGCATTCTTCTATTTGCAATGAAGGAGGTCTATTATCCTACAGATAGGAGAAGTTTTCCTATTGTTCTTGATCATGATCCTACTGATGTAAATTCCTTCTTGTACAAGCGAGATTGAATCCTATAAACCTTTTGGAGAGCAAAAGATTGAAGTGTTAGAACAACTCTTTTAAGTATATGATTCTACTCATAGTTTTATATGTTGTTGTATGTGAATCTGTTTTGATGATGCCCTATATCATTTTCATATGATTTCATTGGATATTGAAATGATTGGGGAGGTAGAGTGGAAATGATGTCATGGTTAAAGTTCAAATCATTAGAAACTCAAATGTCACATATGCTTGCCCGAGACTGAGTAGGGTACATCAAAGATTTGGTAATGATTAGAACTTGGTGAACAACGTAGTGGTTGTCATAGATTTGCTTGTCAAAATAAGAAGTCGGTGTGTAGTGGGATGGGTGGGTGGGTGGGTTGGAAAAAACGAGGTAAATTAGAACTGAACCAAGTAATTAGCAATGTGTTGCAGTTTTTGGATGAGGTAGGTAAGCGTCTTTCTAAGTGATGAATTCTCTCCCCAAGTAGTCCTTTTCTTCTAAAAATGGTAAAATGGTCGCAATCTACTAGAAATAGATGGTCTTAGGACGGAAGCTAGTTGCTCACTCCCCAAAACCTCTGGGCACAGGAAAGGAACTTGAGAAGGCCCTAGTCAAAGGGATCCTTTTTACCTTCTCTCTCGATCCAATTTGAAGCCCCATCTCTCTCTTCACTTTGTAGCGTGAAATCATTCATAATATAAATAGGGTTCTTTCTCATCTGCAATCTGGAAAACCCCACAACATGGGATGGGTCTCCCTTTAATCTAAAAAAACCCCTTACGTGGATAGGTTCTGACTTGTATGCAACATAAAAAACACACACAATGTATACGGTTCCTCTCATATGCTGTCTAATAGGTTCGCCCCCTTCTCCAATCTATGAAAAGGAAAGCATGACGCAGGAAGGATGGTAGAATTTAAGCCAAAAAAAAGGTCGTCTCAAATAAAAAATGGGGATGTTTATTCAATGAACTTACCTTTTTCAAAAAATAAAAATTAAATACAATCTATGCGGCTATGCTGAAGCACCATATATTCATTGGTGATTTCAAAACCACCCCTATTTCACCATATTCTTGAATTTTGTTTTTGATTATCACGATCTCTGATCTGAACATAAAAACAGGGAGTTTTATTGTTGAGCAAAGTCTCCCTGATTTTGGTATGCCTGTAGTTTGTCTGTGGGAGCATATTTTACAGGAGATGGACATAGGCAGTAGAGAGATCCCCCACCTCGATTCCCGTCCTGTTAGCATCTCTGATCTGAGATAAGGGATTATTCCGTTAGGTCTTTTCATTCCAGAGTCGGCTGGTAATGGACCTACTTACCTTGCTTGTGGACCATCAGCTGAGCTAACCTTGGTTATATTGGTTGGTGGTTGCTACCAAGTCGATTTTTTTATGCCTATCAATGAGACTGCACGTCTGTCCCTTTTATCTGTGTGACAAACAGAATTGCCTTCCTTCCCTAATCTCTGCTATGCTATATTATTTTTTTTTTTTATCTTCTTTACTTGCTTCCAATTCTAACAAAGAATGATTATTATTCAGATCTTTAAAGCTCAGAGGAATGTGATTCTGTGTGTTTGTGCATGCCTTCTCTACTGGTATGTTACAAGAAAATCCTTCTCATCAGAAGCTTTCTCTCGTGTCAACTTCTTACCATCTAAACTACTTTAATGGATCATATGCATGCAGGTGTATCTACCGCATTTGCAAATACAACAAAGACATTGAAAGTTTGGAGGAGGTAGAAAAGAGATACAAAGACCAGTAGGTTTGAGAACATGTGTAATCAATCTCCTGTTACATGTGGGAATGGCTTTCTCCTCACGGCTGTATGATTGATACTTGAATCTTTGTTTGTACTCGAGTATGAGAAGTATAATGCTATTAGAACACCATAACTTTGTCGTTTTAGCAGCGTTGGTCAAATATTCAGCTCTATGATGGGTATAAGGGGGAGAAATCCCTAGTTTTTTCAATTTGGAAGTGGGATGAAATTTAATTTGGTTGACACGTGCAATCAAATTAATGAAATGAATCATGGATTTTCTTGACCTTTTCTGCTGTGGAAGCGCATGTCGGCAAAAGGATATTTGATTTGGTGGGATTCTGGTGTGAAAGAAATCTTGGATAATGTGATAAGTGACATTTTTAAATAAACATCCGTAAATGGGTTATGTCCAAATTTGGTGAAAATTAAATTTTTGCATATTTAGGCTTGAAGATTGTTATTTATTATTATCTTTTCTTTTAATTTTCCTTCTTAGAACTTCGGTTTGCAAGGTTGTATCAGGTCAATTTATGGGAATTTTAGTTGGACTTAAATTCCATTTTTTACGATATAATACTCACATTAATCGTCAAATAATGTAATTTTAAAATACAATCCCGAGTAGTTTTTAAAAGAAGAATATTAAAAAACAGGGTAGTGCAAATTATAGGTAGAAATAGGATTAGATTTTACGAGGGTAGAATTCATGTGCTTATTTACTATTGAGAGTTGGAAGGACAAGTGAAGAATTGCGTACATTGTGCCAGTTTTACCGACGTCATTGTAATAGTCAAGTCTACTATTACTAGTAGGTATTGTTGTAACAGTTCAAGCTTACTAGTAGTAGGTATTGTCTAATTTCTAATTTCTATGTCCTTAAAGAGAATGTCCGTTCCCTTTTCCAATCGAAATTGATGTGAGATTTCATAGTCATGTTGTAGGCAAAATATTGTGGCTCGTCAAATGGCATGCCAGGTATACCAGTTACCTCAAATCAAATATTATATATACAATTTATCTTTGTTTAAATCCCGTAAAATGTATTGAAGATAATATCAAACTTAGAGACAAATTTAATTTAAATAAAAGTTAAATATCAACTAAAGCAACATATTAATTTTGAATTAATACTTTTTCCGAAAATTTCCGAACGTGAAACATGAACCCATAATTCGTATATTTAATTTGCATTTTTGGATGTAATATAAGCAGCCGCCTTTGTGGAACGCGTTACCAGTTTCTGCTCGGATTCAAATTCGGCTCTGGCACGTCTGTTCGTTTCCTCCATTTCTTCTCTGCGTGACGATCTGACCACCCCTTCATCTAGGGTTTCGCCTCCGGTTTGAGATCGTCCTCTTTGCATCTGTAAAATTCTTTATTTGAATCTATTTTGTATTTTTGGCGTCTATTTGCGGCCTTTTGTTTTCGTTTTTTTTCTTTCAGAATTTGATTTCTGGTGGTAATTTGGATTGATCTATTTGCAGGGCTCGCTTGGAAGCTGTCATGGCAAGTGTGATTAGACATCCTGTTGGAGCCTTTGCTCGCCTAAATTCCACCGGCGGATCCGAAATCTACGGCAACGGTCTTGGTTTTGTGCGCCTTCCGTCCCTATTTCATGTCCCTATTCGGGTAAGAATGTTTCTCTTTGTACCTACCCCGAATTTCTTCTTTCTCTTTTAACTTGATTGATTTGGAGAGTTCTAATTTGATGTTTGATTTAACCACCATGAGCTGGGTTGGGTAGTGGTCGATAAGGATCATGAAAATAGTCAATGCTTAGAGGGCAAGGTTCAAGCTAGGTGGCCTTCCCCTGAGATATTTAAGGGGCGCACAAACTGAAACGGCCAGTTGGTGCTTTGATTTTGTTGTGTTTGCAATTTTGCTTTTAGACTTGTTTGTTTGGGGTCTTAATGACGATCGGTTCGTTCTATTAAGAGAACCTCTTCATGACTTATACTGTATATGAATCAGTGATGTGATGTAAACTTTTCGTTATTGCACTAAGTTTCCACTTCATGCCCTGCAAAATTCAGTTTCTATGTTTTAAACATTAACGCTAAATTTTTATGGCTATTTTCATGCGCAAGTATTTTTGTTCAGGCTCTGTAAATGGCTCAGTTCGTATATGATGTTTTTAACATAAATTTACCGATAGAAACATATTATAGTGACGAGGGAAAATATTATCATTTAGTGGTGAAGTTTTTAGAAATTTAATTTGTACTCTAGAAAATGTTAACTTTTCACATTAGTGTGAGTTTTTTCTATGGTGTTGCATATTACATTTGAGTTTGAGTTTGATTTGGACTGTGCTATTTTTATCAACTTTCAAATTTCAAATTGAAATACGTATATATTTCTTGTTAATTATGTAAATGCTTATTTTTTTTAATCGGTTGTGGCAGCTATGCCCTCAGGTTTCTTATTCCAAACTCTGGAACAAGAAATTGCGATCCAGATATGGTAGAAGCACGACAGTTAAAGCATCCATCGATGCGGAGTCATCTGGATCGGATGATCCTATTGCTCCTCTTCAGTTGGAGTCTCCAATTGGGCAGTTTTTGACACAGATCTTGGTTAGCCATCCTCATCTTGTCCCTGCTGCTGTTGAGCAACAGCTTGACCAGCTTAAAATTGACCGCGATGCTGAGGGGAACAAGGAGGCTTCTGGTTCTGGTACTGATTTAGTTTTGTACAGGTGAGTTTCCATATCTTTCTGTAATTATTGTGTTGACAAATAACAGAGCGACATAGACAATTCTCCAGTGAAAGCTTTTGTTTTTTATCAGATCGAGAGTGGTTTCCAACAAAAAAAAAAAAAAAAAAAAAGAGCGAGAGAGACATCAAAATTTCCTATGTTGTCATTCCAGTTCTTGGTTTAATCGTTGTAGGGTGTGAAAGGTTCCTGATGAGGTATTGAGAGGATGCAACTGAATAATAGCGATATATCGGACTAGTACATTTACATAATTGGAGAATGCTACTTATGATTTTTTTTTTTTTTGTTTACACATTATTATTATTTGTTATGCTCCTTGAAAGAGGTTATTATTCTTGATATTCTTGGAAATGAGAGAGTGCATGAATATAAAAGGGTTTAAACTTTCCTTTGCTAAACATGTTCACTAAAACATCCAAATAGCTAGACTTGAGGTGCTGTATTGATTATTTCTATTGCTTCTGCAATTATCAGGAGAATTGCTGAGGTGAAGGCAAATGAGAGGAAAAAGGTTTTAGAAGAAATCCTATATGCTTTGATTGTACAGAAATTCATGGATGCTAATGTTCCCCTGATATCTACAATAACCCCCTTATCTTCCGATGTTTCTGGCCGAGTTGATACTTGGTCTGCTCGTGATGAGAGCCTCGAGCATCTTCACTCGCCCGAAGCATGTGAAATGATTCAGAACCACCTTGCTCTCATCCTTGGGAACAGGGTTGGTGACTCAACCTCAGTAGCACAAATAAGCAAACTCAGGGTTGGCCAGGTCTATGCTGCTTCAGTGATGTATGGCTACTTTCTTAAGCGAGTTGATCAGCGGTTTCAGCTGGAGAAGACGATAAAAGTTCTTCCAAACACGTTGAATTCAGAAGAGGGTGTAATTCAACAGGTTGCTGGAGAGGACGTGAGACTGAATATGGGAGAGAACTCATCACCTGTTTCACCACATCCTGAAATCTCTTCCTGGCCCGATCATGATGGGGACAGCTTTGGGGAATTCGGTCGAGGTATAAAAGCTTCTAGACTGCGAAGTTATGTCATGTCCTTTGATGGGGAGACACTTCAGAGATACGCAACAATAAGATCCAAAGAAGCTGTCGGCATCGTCGAGAAGCACACGGAAGCATTGTTTGGTAGACCTGAAATTTCTTTAACAGCTCAGGGAACTATCGATCCTTCGAAAGATGAAGCGTTGAAAATTAGCATTGGCTGTTTGAAGGGATTGGTTTTAGAAGCTGTTACTTTTGGTTCGTTCCTCTGGGACGTCGAAAGCTACGTGGATTCAAGGTACCATTTTGTTGTGGGTTGAGCTAATAACTCCATTGTGCCATAAGTATATGTTTGTTCTAATAACAGGAAAATCTGAGGTGGTTATACTGTATATTACTCACTACTTATGTGATCCTGACTGAAAAACTACAGAAATCTAGTGGGAGAGTTCATTTTGGGTTTTACAGGTATGTTCTTTTTCTTGCTTTGACACATTTCGAATCGCATCACTCACGTGTTCGGATTGATTTTCTAAAGGGAGGAAAAGTGTTATGAAGCACTTAGAAAATCAAATCTATAAGCTAAACCTCCTAACTCAAACACGTTCCTAGTAGATACTATAAGGTTTTTAAAATACCTTACCTCTCCCCGTGAGAGTTTTTCACACCTTTACTTAGGATCTCACATTGTACTTTCTAATTATAGGATCGAGGGGGTTAAAATGTTTGAAGGTGTTGGGTGAAGGGGAGGTGCCTTTCTTTTTCATTGTCGTCAGGGAAGGGAATGCAACGGTCAAACTTGGTGACTAATCTGCAAATAAATTCTATTACGTCACTCATTGGCATTTTAGTAATTTTCTATACCAACTTATTCTTATAAATATATTGGGTCAGGATTATAGTCTTATAAATATATTTTCAACACATTTTAAAAATATTATATATAATATTTTGGTTTTTTTGGTATTAAAAAATAAACAGTAAACTCACTAGTTTTGACTTTTTGACTCTAATTTAAACTTAAAAGTTTAAAAACTGTCGTAATTATTCATTTTTTAATTTTCAAAGTTATATTAACCTACCTTATAAAATATTTTGATTTATTAGATTTTTTTTTTATAATTTTTAAATAAAATTATATTAAAAAATAAAAAACTTTAAATAATTATTTTATTAATTTTTAAAAGAATAATAAACGAGAAAAAAATAATTATGCAAAGAACCTAATTCCTACAAAAGAAAAATGGAAAATTTTGTAGGAATGGGTACGTGGAAGACTTCTCCTGTCGGATTCGAATCTTTTCACATACGAGCAACTTAAAAATATAAAATAATTAGTTTCATGGCATGACAACTTGAAAATAAAAAAAATAACCATATATAATAGAAAGTTAATAAATCAACCAAAGTATGGAAGATAAAAACTCATATTAGCGGGTGCCGACTAATTCAAACCAAAGTATGGATGTTGATTCAATTAGCCAAACGAACACTAACCCTTATCCAATAAACATGATTGGTCAACATTTAAGGAATTGAAAGAGAAATTGAAATAATAAAAGAGGAGAGAGAAGAAAATGACATGAAGAGTTTGGTGAAAAAAAGAGAGAAAAAGATAGAATGAGAGAGAAACATTCTGGCAGTTATGAGAGTAGGAATTTGGCAAATTAGGTTTACAAAATTTAATAATTTTAAATAAATTAATAATAATAAAAAAAAGTCAACAACAAAATCTGAGTCTCTGATCCAATGATGTAACACCCTCCCTCAGGCACCAATCACTTCCTTCTCTTCATGATGTGAAACCTCCTTCCTTCTTTCACAACACACAACCACTCTTTTCTCTCTCTCTCTCTCTCTCTCTCTCTTCAATTACCCAATCTCTTCTCATAACCCGACAAACTTGGACTACTCAACCCGAACCCTAAATATCAGGTTTGAGTAAATTTTTCGGTTTAGGTTCGGTTCAATTTTTTAAAAACTAACCACCACCCTATCCCACTTCTAAGATCGTTATAAATATAAATAATATTTGACATTTATAACCAATATTATCTGTTGTGACTTAGAAATGTAATGTAGGAGTGATAAAGTATAATTTATTAAATAATTAAAAAATAAGATTTGACTACCTAACCCTAAAATAAATGGTTGGGTTGGGTTGAGTTAGACTCTAAATTTTATTTGGGTGTTTGGGTCATCAACTCAGTCAAATCAATTCGTGTGTATCCCGAACAACAATCAGTTGGTGTAATGTTCGAACCAAACCTAACAACAAAGTCGAGAAAAGAAGTAAATAGGAAAGATGGAACATAATTGAAAGAATGAAAAAAAAAAAAAAAAAGTAAAAAACTAAACTTTTCCTCAAAAGAAAAACCCATTTTGTAAAGCAAAACCATATTTTTATGAAAAGAAATACATAAAAGAAAAAGGTAATAATACAACATCCCTTCAACTAATCATCAAAATACTCAAATCCATATATATATATATATATATTTGTGTATAATTTATGATAAAAAGAGGGTTTAAAAAAAAAAAAAAAATTGACCGAAAAGCAAAGGGACAGTGGCCTAGATTTGGAGGGCCTCTGCCCTTTGCCATAGGCTTACTTTGTTTAGGTCAAAAGCTTGTTGGAATTTCTTTCTATTTCTCTCAATCATAAACCAATCGATTGCAAAATCATTTCCCAAACTCATTTATCATCCAACCAAATTCAATGTTTTCCATCATTATTTATTTTACCTCATCTTTTTTATTATTATTATTAAAGTTTTTATCCTTCCCGTATTAAATAGGGATTGTATTAAAAAAAAATTCTTATACCCACGAGCTTCCGTCCAAGCTTCATGAGCCTTGTTGTGTGTTAGATGAACACAACTCTTCACAATGATATGATATTTTTCACTTTGAGCATAAGCTCTCAGGCTTTGCTTTGGGCTTCCCAAAAGGTCTCATACCAATGGAGTTAGTATTCCTCACTTATAAATTCATGATCATTCCCTAAATTAGCCGATGTGAGACTTTCATCATCCAACACTCTACTCCCCCAATCAAATGTTTGAATTTGAGCTATACTCAGATAGAGAGACAAACGTGCAAAATGACCCAATATCAAATAAATGGTAAAAATGGTTGCTTTTTTTTCCTTCCTCTCTCTAGAAGATGAAAATTAAAGTATTAAAGTGTTCTTTTTATATATATATATATATAAATCATTGTTATCTTTTTTGATTTGAAGGTAAAGTAAACATATTATATAAATTCTCTTTACTAATTAGCTCTTTGCTTTAATTTCCCTTAAAATCACTTTCCTTTTTGTTTCATTCTTTTATTCTTCCTATCTAATCATTAATCGGGTTTTACCTAAAAGAATTCTAGGTTGATAACGCAGGCCATTTTTTCTTAAAAAATATATGTAAATGAGGACAAAACATGTTTAAAAAACTCGGGTTAATTTATAGGAATAGTTTTCACTTATAGAAACAGTTTAAGACAAGTACGTCAGGAATGTCGGAGCCGTAGGATACCAAATTCAAATGCCAGATCTTGGGTACCGTTTACACTTATTTTATTAATTTATCGGATAATAAAAGTGATATAATTTGCAAAAATATGGTCTCCACAAAGTGGTTGGCGTGTGGATTTGAAGAGAATATTTGGAGAGCAAAATTTAAAAAAATTATATTGAAAATTAGGGTTTTTTTAAATAATATGAATCAGAACAAAAAACCCTTTAAGACTCTCTCTCTTCTATCCCTTTCTCTCTCTAGATTTCAGGTCAATGGGTCCACTAATTAATCATTGTTCTTGACAATAACACCCACCCAATTTATTTTATTATTTATTTATTTATTTAATATTTTCCTCAAATACTCTCTCATTAATTCATTTTTGTTTAATTCTAATATCCCATTTTTAGCATTATCTTATTGGGTTCAGCGCTCACATCTCTCACTTTTATTGTATTTAATTAAATCTAAACTTTGGGGGTTTTCTTTTTGGTTCAAATTACATTACATAATCAATTAATTAGCATTTCTTTAATAATTTCTTGAAAAAAATGGACAATATTATCATGAAAAGGGAATATTGTTATATATCTAAAAAGATCTTTTAAAAAAAAAAAATTCCTTTTAAATGTTTTTATGGTACACGGAATACAAAGAAATCGTGGTATCGAACCAACCTGTAAAGAACCATTTAGATTTGAAAATTAAAAAAAATATTTGACTATACACCAGCTCAACTCCATTGATGACAGATATTGTCCACTTTAGCCTGTTAAGTATCGTTGTCAAATCTCACGATTTTAAAACGCGTTTACTAGGGAGAAATCTTTACATCTTTATAAGAATGCATCGTTTACTTTTCCAACCAAAATAGGATCTAATAGAATATATCTTGAATTCCACCCCTACTCAAGAGTTTGTCCTATTCCACATCATAGTTAGACTAATGGGCTAGGATGAAAAAAAAAAAAAAAAAAAAATCAGCCTAAAATGCATATTAAGTAAAAAAAAAATCTATGTTATTTTTTTTTAATAAAATATCACATATCTAACCTACAAAAATTCAAAAAAATTTAAGGTTTCACTATCCTAGATAGATTCAAATTATATGTTACAGATATATTCATTTTTAAAAAATTTAAATAAGACATAGTAACGATTCAAGCCCATCGTTAGTAGATATTGTTATCTTTGGACTTTCACTTTTAGGCTTCCCCTCAAGGCTTTAAAACATAGTTGCTAGAAAAAATTTTCACTCTTATAAACAGTAGTTTATTCAATTACGTAATTAGGTAGTACATATTAGGGACTATTACTTGAACCATGAACCACGAACCGTATAGATATACACTTAAACCATGAACAGTGTATATATATATGTGTGTGATATCTGAAGAAGACTTGTTGAAGTGGTATGAGTTGATGATTGTACTAAGTATATATATTAGTTTAAACAAGTTTTTTCTGTTGGAAGAGGACAAATTCCCATATTTCTTTCTCCCCTCTCCTGTGTGTGGTGTGTGTGTTCCGCCACTCATAATTCTCCGAACACCAAGGATTATTTATTAAAATAAATAATAATAATAAAAAAAAAATTAATAAATATTGCATGGTGGAGAAACAAGAAGAAAGATTGAGACTTTCTATTTCACTTAACCCTTTAAAATTCCTTCCTTTTTTTTCCCTATCTAACCTAATCTCTCTCTATTTCACTTAACCCTTCTTTACTTTCTCTCTCCTCTTTCTCTCTCCTCTTCTTCTTCTTCTTCATCATCTTCTTCTTTCTTCATAACACAAAAACCTAACAAAACCCACATCGAAAGCCCTCAGCTTTTGAAATTTGTATATATCAAAAAAGAAAAAAAAAAAAGTAAAGATGTTGGAGAAAGGCATTCTTGTTCCTGATCTATCACTTCAAATTAGCCCTCCCATAACTGAACCATCTTCTTCATTTCATATTTGGAAGCAACCTCAAGT